GTCCCCAGCCCAGCTGCTGGGGCAGGGAGGGTTGAGGTTTTCTTTCCCCCTCCCACCCCCTTCCAAAGGCCATCTGGGCTTCAGACCTGCCTGTGCATCACCCTGCTCACAAGTAATTGCTACCTGGTCACGCCTGACCATGAGCAGAGCCAGGGTGGGAACAGAGCACAGTGACCTTTTTTACTGCCAGGGCACCCTGGCAGGGTGGGCTGGGGGCAGCAGGAGCAAGGGGGGAAGACGGGGTGGGGAAAGGATTCCTTAACTCCTGCTGTGCCAAGCACTGCGAGGCCGTGACACCAGTCAGGGCAGGGAGTGGTGTGAGGGCACACATGGGTGTCCCCTGTTGGGGTGCGTGGTGTGGAAGGCTCATGTTGATGTCCTCAGGGCTCCAGCACATGTGCAGGAGGAACAGCATGGACAGGGGGAAAGGCAAATACTGAGAAATCCTCCCCTCCACCTGCCTTGGGTTTATGTCTCCATCCCATCAATGTGTCTGTGGGTGAGCACTGTCTATCCTTCAGCATCCCTGTTATCCCAAGCAGGCTGATGTGGCCATGGCAGGGAACGGGATCCCAGCCCAAGATGTCAGCTGAATTACTGGGTTCAAGGGCTTTTTTTTTCCCATTTCTCTTTTTCTTTTTCCCCCTTTTCCCTTTTTTTTTTTTTTTTTGCAATGCTAATGGCTCTGCCCTGCACTGGCTGCTGATCCCTCATTAATCTGGGCAGCACTTCACAGCCAGCCACAGTGACTTTTGGCAGGTGCACAAAGGCAGCCAGCGATACGCAGACCCCCCCGGCCACAGGCATTACCATGCGCAGCCTTCCTCCAACTTTTGTCTCTGTGTGGCAGGGACGCGGATTAAGGAATTTCTCCCTCTGCCTTTGATGCTGTGTGTCCATCTGTCCCTCCACGACCTCCCCAGTCCGTGTGTGTTTCCCCCCCCGCTCTCCCTGTCTGTGTCCAGTTGGACCTGGTCCCCTTGTGCTTTCCCGTCTGAGCCAAGGGCACCCACCCAGGGACTTTCTCACCCACCATGGCAAATGTTGGATGTGCCCCCCACTGCCTGGCTCAGAAGTGCTGCATTCAGAGGTCATACGTGTGGGGAGAGGTGGATGATGCCTTTTCTGCCTTCCCTTTTGTCTGTTGGCTAAGGAGTTGCTTAGGGCAGCATCCTCCAAGGGCCTACAAGAAAGGTCCTCCAGGTCCTCCAGCCTGCGTCCTGGGGGAACATCATGCAAGGCACAGCTTTGAACCTATGGAGCATGCAACCCCCCCATCTGCAAGCACCCAGCTGCAGGCTGGCTGCAGCTGGGGACAGGCAGGAATTGCTCCCAAGAGCAAACATTTAGCCAGGAGGGCTCTATGGGCTGGAGAAAATACTCCTGATGGAGCAGCAACCTGGCCAGGTCACTGGGACCTCATCGTGGCTGGCCTTCCTGCAGCCTGCTTGCTGTGGGGTTCAGGGAGCAGCCAGAAGGGTTCAGAGCATCCTGAAAGACCTTGAGAGAGACAAACATCAGCCGGATAACCCCAGCATCCTTTTGAGCCCTTCGCTCATTCCCTGCTTCCAAAGCAGAGCTGGCCCAGCACAGGACAAGCTGGGAGGAACAGGCTTACAGGGACATGGCAGCATACCCTGTAAGGTTTCATTTACTTTGTCATGAGGAATTAATTAAGCTTGATCATTTTAGCATCACCATCCAAATTGGTGGATGCCACCAAACACCCCATCCAGACAAGTCCCTGCTGTGTGGCATGAACAGTGCTGCACGTGTGTCCCATCTCGCTATGACAGTGACCAGAGCTGGTGGCAGAGGCATCAATCACAGGGTCTGGGTGGCAGGGACATCTTCACTGTGCCACAAGGCTCCTGTCCTGCCCACCCTTCCTGGGGGCCTGGGCCATGAGATTGTGTCCCTATGAGAAGAAGTTGCAGAAGCTGTCTCAGCTCTGCTGGGTGCAGCAGCGGGTGCCGAGAGCCCATCGCCACTGAGGACCCTGATCCAGCTCTGGCTTTGGTCCTGGGCTGAGAAGGGCTGGAGTTTGGTGGGGTTGGCGGGATGGGTCCCCTGGGGCTGTAGGATGCATAGCTGTGTCCTGCAGGAGGGACTAGCATTTTTTCACCTTCTTTTCCCCATCCTCCCTTCTGCCCAGACCTCAAAGGATTTCCGCTTTCACCTATTCCATCAGTGAAATGGTCCAAAACCCTTTTGCTGCAGGATGGGCTGTGCCCAGCCTGGGATGGAAGCAGCCACCCCCATTATATAGACTGAGCTGGGGAACTGTGAGCAACTCAACAGGACTGCTTTAAGGCAGATACCACTATTTGGACAAGACACAGTGCCTGTGACCCCTGGACTGGCTCTCAGCCTCTGTGGTGTGCTGGAAACTCAGGGATACCCTGCACAGAGCCCCACTGGGCTCATCTGCCCCCGTGCCAGGCTCTGACCTCAGACCTGCTGGTGCATACCCCAAGTAGCTGCCAATGGGTCAGACCTAATGGTGAGACCCATGGCACATTGGGAAGTTGTCCCTTGGATGGTAGGGATGGACTCAGGTACCAGTTGTCCCAGCGCTTAGGTTAATGGTGGTTTAGGGCTTAGGCACACCTCAACTTGGCACAAGCCCTGCAGTGAAACCCTGTTTGCATCCCACCAAGAAAGTGGGTGTCAGCCCTGAATTGCTTGTGCAAGGGGAGGCAGGATATGGCCTTCCCTCATCCAGACCTCAAATGTGCAGTGATGTGAAGGACATACACCTTTCTCCACACCGCTCCCCTGACAAGGTTTGGTAGCAACTTTGTGCCTTGCAGGCAGCAGGAGGCCCCTTGCTCCGTGGTCGCTGGTCTGCCCTCAGATGTGCTCCAGATGTGGGGTTCTTGTCATGCTCTGGGCAGCATGAGCATCGGGGAGCTCAGAGCCCAAAGGCCCTGCTGTGCCAGGCAACAGGCTGGATGTGGTGTTGAGAGGGAACAGGGAAGGAATGGCTCTCACCTGGATCAAGAAAGCATCTCTGGTAGGGATTCCCAAGAGTAACTGTAGAAGCCAGGGAGTGCTGCAGTTTGTATGCCAAAGGGATCGTATCTGTGCAGGGTGTTGCACATGCTGTACTGAGAGAGCTGGAAAAGGGATGGGTCTTTCTCAGGGTGCTCTTCTGCTTTTCAGGTACCACTGCAAGCAGCGTGGTGATGAGATTAACCACAATGCTCACTGACCAGGCCAGCACTTACCCCTGGTGTGCACATATCCCTGTGTGTGTAAAGCTGCAGTGCTAGGGCAGATTCATCGCTCAGCTGCATTGGCTCAGGCACCCGCTTTTCTCTCTTTGGGCTGTGGGACCATACAGAAGGTTTTTTCGCTCCATCTTGGTCCTGTCACTGAACTGAGCTCTTAATAAAACTCAGCTATTGGTGGTCCCAATGCCTGCCCTTCTCCTGTGTGGCTGGGGAGACATGGAAAACCCACGTGAGCTGTGCCATGAAGTTCCCCCCATCCATGAGGTGCCACTTGTTCTGTTTGAGCTTCAGTCACTGGCTGAGCACCAGCACATGTAGATGGACTACATCAGACCTGCACCATCCCTCATCCCTCCAGCATCTTTATGATAAACATGTGTCTGGAGAGAAAGTGATTTGTATCAGCCAAGGCACAGGGAAGGAAACATGGGCCAGCAGTGTATGCTTGCAGCCCAGAAAGCCAACCGTATCCTGGGCTGCATCAAAAGGAGTGTGACCAGCAGGTCGAAGGAGGTGATCCTGTCCCTCTACTCTGCTCTCGTGAGAGCTCACCTGGAGTATTGTGTGCAGTTCTGGTGTCCTCAACATAAAAAGGACATGGAACTGTTGGAACAAGTCCAGAGGAGGCCACGAGGATGATCAGGGGACTGGAGCACCTCCTGTATGAAGAGAGGCTGAGGAAGTTGGGGCTGTCCAGCCTGGAGAAGAGGAGCTGTGTGGAGACCTCATAGCAGCCTTCCAGTATCTGAAGGGGGCCTATAGGGATGCTGGGGAGGGACTCTTCATTAGGGACTGTAGTGATAGGACAAGGGGTAATGGGTTAAAACTTAAACAGGGGAAGTTTAGATTGGATATAAGGAGGAAGTTCTTTACTGTAAGGGTGGTGAGGCACTGGAATGGGTTGCCCAGGGAGGTTGTGAATGCTCCATCCCTGGCAGTGTTCAAGGCCAGGTTGGACGAGGCCTTGGGTGGCATGGTTTAGTGTAAGGTGTCCCTGCTCATGGCAGGGGGGTTGGAACTAGATGATCTTAAGGTCCTTTCCAACCCTAACTATTCTGTGATTCTATGATTCTATGTCCCCATGTGGGGGCACAGGCACCACAGCAGGGAATGAAGCCGGCAGCGTGTTGGTCCTCAGCCTCAGAGGCTGGATCCAGAGATCCCTGGAAGGTGTGGACACAGCCTGGGGAGTGTCCACTTGCAGCAGATGCACCCCCAGAACAGAATGACCTCCCATGGCAGCAGAAACAACAGGACAGAGGGAATTTCTCTAGGAAAGGCAGCTAGTCACAGCTTGATCCTTATCCAAGGGCACAGCCAGAGGGATGCAAACTGAGCCAGTGGGATGCCAGGAGGCATGGGAGCAGGGTGGCTGGCTGGGGAAGACTCATCACAGCTCTGGTAGTGATGCCCAGAAGGCGTGTGCACGCACCCCAGCCAGCAGCTCCAGCACCCAGCCACACCATGTCCAAGCGGAGCCTGCCCAAGCATCTGCTAGATTCTGGTGACCTCTAGAGGAAGCTGCTCTGCTGCAGCAGCTCAAGTTTGGGAGCACGACGAGGTCTCACCAGACCTTTAGCTTGGCTGCCACTGGGGAGTTCTCCCCTTGCAGCCCTGTCCAGAGCTCATGCTTCTGCCCCAAACCCCTTAGCACTTCCCAAAGTGCCGTCAAAGTCCCATTATCACCCTCTAGCAGAGCTAAACTTGCTGATGGTCTCATCTCCCTGTGCATGGGGTTTCCTCTGACCGCCCTGCTGCCCTCAGGTTGAGCTGTCGGACGGGACATCGCACACCATCACGGACGCCTATGCTGGCAAGGAGTACATCATCCAAGTGGCAGCTAAAGACAATGACATTGGCACGTGGAGCGACTGGAGCGTGGCTGTCCATGCCACCCCATGGACAGAGGAGCCCAAGCACCTCACCACAGAGGCGCAGATCACAGGTAAGAGCCCCCTTCCCAATGCAAACAGGTTGTGCCCACAGCAGGGGTACCCACGAGCCCTAGCTGAGGGTCCCCCTTGTCAGGCTCCATGCATGTTCCATCCCCAGGCAAGGAGATCCCCCAGCACCTAAGGGGAATGCAGCCCTTTACCCTACACTTTGCCCCATACCCATGGCCCTGGCAGTGGGTGTGACTGTGACCTGAGTGCCCCAGTTTACTTGGTTCTGGTATCCTTCTCACCAGGTTACTTGGGGTATCATATTAGTTTGATGATGATTATTATTATGATGATGACTATGATTATGATTATTATTACTGTTATTATTGTTATTATTATTATTCCCTGAGGCCTCCATCCCTCCCTTTCCAGTCCTACCCCCTCCACACCTCCGACCCCACACAATAGCTCGGAGCGGTGCCAATTCGAAATAAAAGCCACAAAGTTAACAAGCCTCTGTTTCTAGGAAAGAGCTGGGACTGTGTCCAAATGGGCGTTATCAGCCCTCCGTTTCCCAGAAGGGCTGGGGCTGGACGCTGCACCAGTTCCCCTGGCTGGCACCGTCAATGGGGCAGGGGTGAGCAGTGGGGCAGCACTGAGCAGTGCTTCTAGTCAGCACTGCAGATGTGAGGTGGACAGATGTGCATGTGGGGATGGAGAGTGCTCAGTGTTCCCATCCTCCAAGCTCTATCCCAGACGTGTGGGCAAGCCATGTGCTACCAGGGACATGCATGAACCCCTGAGGGCCCTGGCAATGCTCCCTGCCTGGGGATGTGGTACATGCAAGGCCCGGATGGAAACGCCTCCTACGTGGAGATACCCCCACTTGCCAAACCAGCAGCCAGTAGGGCTCCTGGGGGTTCAGGCAGCAGCAGGGATTTGCAGCCCTTCATCCCCAGGGGGATAAAACCCCACAAGGAGTGCAGGCAGACTGCACAGCACTGCTTGGGTGAGGGTTTGGGGTTTGCTTCTGTACCCACCTGCTTCATGCTAAATGCAAATACCACTTACAACAGCACCTGCCTGCTCTCTGTTTGTCATGTCCCTCACACCCATGTCCCTCACATGCGTGTCCTTGCATATGGGACACCCCGGCCCTAAGGCTGAGCCTCACCATGACACTTCAGTGAGGTCTGAAAGATGCTGAGACAGACCCCTGTGGCCTCATCATCCACCCCAGCTTGTCTGGAGGGGATGCTCTGGGACCTGCTGGATGTGACCAAAGCTGCCTCAGCCTGACTGACCATCCAAGCTCTCCCTGCACCCATGCAGCCCTCTGCAGACAGACAACCCATCTGGTCCTGTACAGAGGAGAACAAGCCCCATGAGCCAACCCAGCCGCTACAGCCATGTCTGGGGTGTTCCCTGGGCAGGGGATGCTCTCTACTGAGTGCTTGTAGCCATGTCACCAACATTTCTTAGCCAAATTCCTGCTGAGCTGACGCACAGAGTAATCTGGCTGGTCAGGATGAGGCTGGGAGGGATGCCCAGCTCTGCTCGGTCATGCAAGCATCCCTTGTGTCAGAGCAGGGAAAGTCTCATGGACCGCACCGTCCCCTGGCTCATCATCCCAATCCCCCAGCTCAGCCTTAGTACAACAAAGCAGTAAGGGGCAATCTGAGGACAGGACAGTGACATGTCCTCAGTAGCAGGGAAGTGGGGCTGCCCCATGGGACACATCTCTGAGCACCCCAATTCCTCTCACCATCCTCTTTCACTCCTTGCAGAGACAACAAGCACTAGCACCTCCTCTTTCATGCCACCCCCCACCACCAAGATCTGTGACAAGGGGGCCGTGGTGGGCAGCGGAGCCGTGGCAGTGTGTTGGACAGCTGGACTGGTCTTGGCTGCCTATGGCATCCTCTTTATTTAGTGAGTATTACCCAAACCGTGGGCGTAACAGATGGGATGTGGGTGCAGGGATATGGGGACTCCAGGGACTCCAGCATGGCTGGGAATGGGATATGTGCGAAGGGCATTGGGAATGAGCCATTTGGGGGTTTTATTGCAGTTTCATTTTAAATATACCCAACCTGGCTGCTTTTCCATATTGAGTATTCTGGAGGAGATCTCAGTAATGGCTTTTCAAATATTACCCACAAAGCCTGTAGAGGGATCAGTCTTTCATGTCTCGTTCTCAGCAGCCCTCTCCCCTCCCCACTGATGGTGTTTTAAGAGGCCAAGAGACCACGTGGAAATTAAGCCTTTTGTGGAGTGACAGAGGAAAAACTGTCCAAGATCAGAAAATCCAAAAATGCATCTCAAAAATGTCCTTGGTTTGGCTTCTAATGGAGCTGGCAGCCTGGAAAGCCCCAGAATAGAATCATAGAATCAGCTAGGTTGGAAAACTCCTTTAAGATCATTAAGTCCAGCTGTTACCCTATGTTGACAAGTTCACCCCTGAACCATGTCACTGAGGGCCTCATCTACACAGTTTGTGAACACTTGCAGGGATGGTGATTCCACCACTGCCCTGAGCAGCCTGTTCCGATGCCTGAGCACCCTTTTCATGAAGAAATTGCTCCTAATCTCCAATCTAAGCCTCCCCTGGTGCAGCTTGAGGCCATTCCCTCTTGTCCCATCACTTGTTACTTGGGAGAAGAGACCAGCCACCTCTTCAGTACCTACTCCTCTCTGGGCCTGGGCTGATATCCCATGGGTGTCCACCCATCCCTTTTCACTGTACCTACACTGCCCAAAGACTGGAGGATTGGTCCTTTGTGTCCCTTTGTGGGATAAAGGATGTGCCACCCATCCTTCAGTGCCCAAGGAGGAGCCGTTGCAAGGCAGCTCCTATGGGCACGGGGTCCTATGCTCCCCTCTGGCTGTGTCACTTCCACATTAGCAATGTGGCAATGGGAAAGGAGAGAAAACACAGCAGCGAGTGGATGGCCAGGGTCCAGCCCTGGGAGGAAGAGGTGGAGGTGATGTATTTGGGCACCTCGTTCAAGTAAGGTGTGAATTACCCTGCGGAAAGAGGCAAAATCCTCCTTGGAGTGTCCCCTTAGTGGCCAGGCATGGCCAAGCATGGAGCAGTGACCTCTCTCCTTCCTCTTGCAGATCCTCATCTGTCTGTCCATCACATCCCAGCACAGAAGACGCCTTCCCACCACCCACAACCGCTGCCACCCCTCGCCTCGCTACCCCATTCCCTGGGTTGAGTCTCTTTATCTCTTCGATTTTGCACACATTGAGGACGTATCACGCTTCTTGCCATCGCTTCGGATGAGGACAGAGCTGCTGCCATCCCAGGGGGAGCCACAAAATCCTCTCGAGCCTGGAGCGAGGAGACGCACTTGTCCCCCCCCCCCAGTCCCCATGCCCCTTTTCCCAAGCAAGACAAAGCGAGCCTGGTCACCGTGCTGCAGCTGAGGACCCCGCTCATACAGCTAACCCCCCCCACGCCAAAGACGTGCCCGCCACCCCGGCACCCACCCCGGTGACAGGGAGCGTGACGGCGCACGGAGAAAAGGGGATATGAAAATGGGGGGGGTGGTGAGGGGAATGATGCTCCCAGCTGTGGACCCCCCTCAGAGAAGAAGGGGGTCCCTCCAAGGACCGGACTTGCTTCCCCGAGCTCGTGACCGCGTGGTGAAGCTGAAGGGGTGAATGGGTTGGAGAAGGGTCTTGATCTCCTCCGAGGGGATGGATGATGGAGGGAAGAACTGGTGGCTTTCATAAGTGCGGTTGGGAGCAGGGAGCTGGCAGGGTTTTAATGGGAAAAAAAAAGAGGAAATTATGGGAAAAAAAGGAGGAAATTAAATACCAGTAAAACCCCCCTGACCCTTGCTGAGTGCCTGGAGCTGCCCCTCTGGCTCCCCCCTCCCTACCCAGCACCCTGCAGGAGCCTTCGCCACCCTCAAGCCCACATCACCACCAAACTTTTGACCACATTGGATACAGGGAATCGCCCCGTTGACGTATTTGTCTCACTCCCCAACAAAAGCAGCATAGCTCTGCTGTTGCCTTTAGAGCTGGAGCCCTGCAGACTTGTCCCCCGCTGTCCCCTGCTGTCCCCAGCTGCCCCTGTGCCTGCTCTGCTCTCCATCCTGCCCCAAAACCTGTTTTGTAAAGACACCTCCTCTCGCCCCTGCCTGGACCCAAGCGCAGTATTTAATACCGTACGTCCTAGTATTCCCACTGTTGACATGCTGTATTTGAATTTTTTATAGATGTATATATATAAAAAACAGAAAAAAAAAGAATCAAAAAAAATAGAGGGGATAAAAATAAGCTCACACAGAGACAACGCACACACGCACACACACATGCACCAGGAGAGACCGTCTTCATTAAATGATCATTTCATGATGTGTAGCAGCTCTGGGTGTTATTTTCCTTCTTATCTGGAGTGTGTGGGTTTGGCTGCCCTGCTCCTGTGTGTGGAGCTGGCTGTGATAGGGGTGGATGGGGGGAGCGCAATGAGGGGGATGCAGAGCCTGAGCTTAAGGTATTATCTCCACAGAGGGATGGGGCACTCAAAAACTGGCCTGTAGGACATCCTGAGAAGGTGCAAGGAGGATGCTCACACCTGGAAAGCTTATGTCGTGTGAAGGGGATGGTTGTCACCACCCTGTGCCACATGGCCCCGCTCATGGGCCCTTGGGGATCCCCATATGTCCCCAAAATCCTACCAGACCCTGACACCACTTGGGTAGGCAGAAGGATGGAGAAGTGCCTTTGCCCCACTGCAGAGCAGAGGCTGGAGGTGGCACGTAGTCCCAATTAATGCACTTTCCTTGTCTGATTAATAATTTCACATTAGGAAAATGCCACTGGCCCAGATGCTCTGAATTAAACTTCCATCATGGCAGGGATCAGAGGAACCTGGCATAGGGGCAATGAATGCAGCAAAGCACACTGTGTCGGGGTCTGGCCTCTCCCGATATGCTTTGCTTGTGAATATCAACCAAAGCAGAGATGTCATCAAGCTGCAGCTCATCCCAGGGGGAAAATACACTCCACTTTTTAGCAAAATGCCCCAACATGCCCCATCTTTCCATTTGGAAGATGGATGGATGGATGGATGGATGGATGGATGGATGGATGGATGGATGGATGGATGGATAGATGGGTGGAAGGAAGGATGGAGGTGAAGAAGCCACAACTCTGGCTTTTCAAAGCCAGCTTCCACCAGGCACTTTGTGTGATTTTAACCATGCAGGGACTTTATAAGAGGAGATCTCAGTCCCGTGCAGCCCTGCCTCTGCCTCTGCCTTGCCAGCAGCCGACCTGGCCCATGTGCTGGCTTAGTTCACTGGTTAATGTTCCATTACCAGACAACATGCCTCAGTCATTTATTAATGTTTCATTAGTGTTAAAAACATCTGGTAATTAATTATGCACTAATTATGGATTCACAGTGCTAAAAGCCAGGGTAATTTACCATAGCAGATGACTCTTTGGGGCAGGGGGAAGGGACAGCTCTTAGCAGACATGAAAATGTCAGGCGCAGCCCTTGCCTGGGGGAAGCATCCCAGACAGACAGATTGCCTTCATCTCCACCCTGGACCCCCATGCCTGGTCCGGAGGCATGCAATCTCAGGTTATTAAGCAGAGCAAACCTTTCCCTCTCAATCTGTTTCAGGGACCAAGGAAACAGTGCTTCCGCTATATGAGAAGCCATCCAACAGCGATGGCTTTCACACAGAGCCCCAGGCATCCTCCAGCACCTGGAGCTGGTACTGCTCCATGAGTCTGCTGCTGGCTCTAGGTTGCTGTTCATCAGTCCCTCCACAGTGCCTGGACAGATTAAGCTGCAGTCCATAAAGAAAGGGATGTCCTAAAAGCCCACTCATTAAGTGCCCCAGCAATATTACATACAGATGTGCAGAGATGTTTCAAACTGGGGAAGGTCCTAGGGGAGCATCCCTGCCAAGCAGAAAATCCATCCACTTAGCAGTATAAATCCATACAGGAAGAGACGGAATTACAGCGCTCAGAGAGACCTGTGCATCACATAACCTGAAACCCAATACATCAGCTGGGCGCAATGGGTCCCTGCATCTTCCCACCACATATGTGGCAGTAAATCCCACCTTAGGTGTTGTTTTCAACTGCTGATGATGCAAGAGCAGCCTTGCACTGGGCTCCCCAGGCTCTGCAGGAGGCATCAGAAGTGCGACTGGAAAGCAGGAGCTATTTCCCGGACGTGAGGCCTCATAGGAAGCAGAAAGCCTCCTTGCTCGAATGATGGGCTGAACAGCGGAGCAGGTCCAAAACACTGCACCTCCTGAATCCTTCCCTGAGGTGGGTGACAGCAGAGATCACATCCTCCCTGATCCAATAGTGAGAGAAGTTCCCTGCTCCCACACCAGCTTACGAGGAGCCTGGAGCCCCCAGGTGGTAACAAGCACAAATTAGGTTGAGAGAGATGAGCTTTGATCGGGCACCATCCATGCCCTTTGGTTGACGGATAAAAGAGGAGCAGTGAGCACGGTGCTGTGTATTTCAGCTCTGGAAGAGCATTAGATAGTCCCAGAAGAAAGGTGGCAAGGCAGACTTGGCTGCCAAAAAGCACATAGATAGCGACACAGGAGACCCAAGCATGAAAGCATCCTGCTGAGCCAGGGGGAAATGCCAGTTGGGTCCATGGAGCTGTCAGACCTGCTGCTTATTCACACAGGGGTAGACATAGTACCCAAGAGACAAACATCATCCTCCATCACAAAAACAGGGTGAGGTGGGAGGTGGGGGTAAGAGCAGCAGGAGCTGGTAGAAAAGTGGCCCCCAGGGTGAGTGTGAAGAGTAGCATCTGTGAGGGATGAAGGTGTAAACAGAGTCAGCTTGATTTGGAGGAGCCCAGACTCCGCCAGTCCTCAACCTGTAACAGTGTCAAGTCCTTCACATACAAGAGCCTATTCCAAACCACAGGGTATTGATTTAAAAAATGCCTACATCCTACATCACCCATACAGCGATAGAATCATAGAACAGTTAGGGTTTGAAAGGACCTTAAGATCATCCAGTTCCAACCCCCCCTGCCTTGGGCAGGGACACCTCACACTAAACCATCTCACCCAAGGCTTCGTCCAACCTGGCCTTGAACACTGCCAGGGATGGAGCATTCACAACCTCCCTGGGCAACCCATTCCAGTGCCTCACCACCCTTACAGTAAAGAACTTCTTCCTTATATCCAATCTAAACTTCCCCTGTTTAAGTTTGAACCCGTTACCCCTCGTCCTATCACTACAGTCCCTAATGAATAGTCCCTCCCCAGCATCCCTATAGGCCCCCTTCAGATACTGCAAGGCTGCTATGAGGTCTCCACGCAGCCTTCTCTTCTCCAGGCTGAACAGCCCCAACTTTCTCAGCCTGTCTTCATACAGGAGGTGCTCCAGTCCCCTGATCATCCTCGTGGCCTCCTCTGGACTTGTTCCAACAGTTCCATGTCCTTTTTATGTTGAGGACACCAGAACTGCACACAATACTCCAGGTGAGGTCTCACGAGAGCAGAGTAGAGGGGCAGGATCACCTCCTTCGACCTGCTGGTCATCTCCTTTTGATGCAGCCCAGGATACGGTTGATTTCTGGGCTGCAAGCACACACTGAAGCCGGCTCGTGCTCGTTTTCTCATCCATAAAACACCCCCAAGTCCCTCTCTGCAGGGCTGCTCTGAATCTCTTCTCTGCCCAACCTGTAGCTGTGCCTGGGATTGCTCCGACCCAGGTGTAGGACCTTGCACTTGGCATCAGCCCACCTCACAAGTGTGTCGAGGTCCCTCTGGATGGCATTCCTTCCCTCCAGGGTATCAACCGAACCACACAGCTTGGTGTCATTGGCAAACTGAGATGGAGCACTGAATGTCCTTGACAGGTTATAGCCTTCTTCCCAGGAGGGATGGCTCAAGAACCAGGCTCCCACCACGAGGAAATGCTCCTGCCTATTTGCAGTAGGTTCCTGCCCACTCCAGGAATAAGCCCTGCAGCTTTGAGTGGTTCAACCACCACCACCACGTGGAAGCAGATGGAGTTGTAGGTGAGGTCTCTGGGGGTGGCAACAGGCATGGGCAGTCCAAAGTGCTGTAGCAGAAGCTTGTAGCAGCAAGAGGTGGCAGATGGTCACAGCAAACTGGAAAGGACAGCCTTGGACCATCTTATTCCTTGGTGGCTCCAGATCAGGACTTGATGCCCTTCTAGAAGAGGCTGTCTGCTGTTTGGAGAGCCTCATAGTAGTGACTTTCCTCTTCCCCATGTCCATCTGGAATGGCTCAGCCTCTGCCCTGGCACTGTGCCCCTAACACCTCTGCCTGCAGCCTCATGCCCTCACTCCCCACCAGGGCAGCTCTGACACCTCCTCACCCCACAGTTGTGCTATGGACGGATGGTCAGAGCCCACCATTGCTTTCGAGCTCTCCATCACATCCCCAGTGCTGTGACCCCCCCTGGCCACCTCCAGTCTGCCCCAGTCCCCTTCCTGCTCTGGCCAGGGTGACCCATATGGACCATCTGCTCACAGCACCCCAAACCTCCCTGCACACAGTCACAGCAGCCGAGAACAGCCCACCCGGCTCTGCTGCAGCACAGAGACCAGACCACACCAGTGTTCCCTAATAACCAATTGTCTCTTTTTTTCCTCCCTTTCAAGAAAAAGCCAAGCATTAATTTGACTTCTGCCACTCTGTTTATCTAATAGCATCACTGATTGATTGTCTTATTTATAACCCAGATCCGGTCTGGTGTGCTTGTGGAGACTGGGTGATTGATGGAAAAAAGACAGCCAGAAGGGGACTTAATGGAGCCGTGTGGCTGAGCAGCAGAGTAGTGGCTTAGGCATGAAATGAAAGTGTCTCCCAGAAGTCTGGGCTCCTCTTCTCTTTCCTGCATGGTTCCCAGGGATGCTGCTGAGTGCTGGGAGAGAGCAGCGTGCTCCCTCTGCCTTGCCAGGGTGATCAGGGGACCATACTCGGGTTTTCTCCAGCATCCTGGAGGAGGACATGCCAAGGGGACACAGCCAAGAGGGGCTTGGACTGCTTCCCAAGAGGGCTTCATGCAGTCTCTGGGAAGGTTTCCCCCTTCCAGGGTAGAAGGGATGGTTTGCAGGGATGAGACAGCCTGTCCCTACCCAGCCACCAGCCTGCTATCATAGGCTGGATATCAGGTCCTTGCACAACCAAAGGGTGCACAGGGGAGCCTTGGGATGACACACTGCACTCCTACAGGCTGTCAGCATCTTCCAGAGATCTCAGTTTTACCCAAATCTGGACTAGGACATTCCCACATGGAAGGTTTCCCTGTTCCTCACATTGATGGGCACGAACCCCAGCAGAGTCACCAACCCACATGTGAATCACCCCATGCAGACAATCGCT